CAATATTAGACAAAGACAGAGTAATTCAGACTCATTTTACTTTTGAACGTAGTTACAAAGTATATTATAGATAAGAGAATATTGCACCATGAGCACCTGCTATTTCAGGGCTGTAAAGGTAGCTTATCAGGAAGACTATACTAAAAGATCACATCTATCTGTTATTGCATCACATGAAAATGCTTGAGGGAACTTTTCCTAGGTTTGGAGGGGATGTGTGAGACTCCCTGCCCTAATGCAGTGTGAAAAATTCACTCTGTGGGACAGAAGCTCCTCAAAGACATCTAGGAGGTGAGCAGTCATTCCTGAGAGTAGCTAAGAGCAATGCCAGGCTTGTGGCACCCACATTCAATCAGGATGCCACTCAGGAAACAGTAAGTGGCTTCATACATGAGTTTCTATCAAAAGTCACAAGAACAGACCCTCCAAATTACTGAAGTTGATTTGTAATCAAACTGTGTCTCATATGGGCCGTTCTCTAGAGTGTGATGAAAGGGGAGGAGAAGGAATATACTTGTTTAACAATGGTCAATAATGTTCTATAGTCAAGCCAATGGAACCAAGATATCAATTATTATGCTATGAGACCAGGACAAATGCAAAAAAGTAATATGATCATCATGATGAAGACAATAAAAGAGCTTGATGACTTTACATCTACTTCTGATTTAAAAATCTTAGTTAATATGAGTTTAAAAAGTTAATGTGAAAAGACAAAAAAAAGTTAATGTGAGTTTAAAAATCTTAGTTAATTCTTTACTTGACAACATTTCTGCTTTACACTAATAGATAAATCCACACATAATGGTGAAAAAAGATTTTTATTGAAATCAAGATTAAGAATACCCCTCTGCCCACTAGACATCAGTACCATTTTCTCAGTTGTAATAACCAAAATATCTCTAGACATTGCTGGGTATCTTCAAAGGTATAAAAACATCCTTGATGGAGAATCACTGTTCTAGAGGCTGTAGTAAATGCAATAAGATGAGAAAAACTTTTACAAAGTTTGAAAGAAAGAAAGAAAGAAAGAATTTTCATTTTTTTGGAAAAAGATGTATTTATCATTCTAGAAAACTTAATATTAACTATATTGGAGTAGTAAAAAAGCATTTATTAGAGTGGTTGAATAGGGAATAAATGCACAAATATTTTTGTCAAAAATGTCAATAACCACAAATTTAAAAGTACCAGTAAAATTTTTTAAATGGGCAAGCACATTTTATTGTAATAACAACAAATACAGAGAATCTTAAATAATACACTTACTGACATTCGTACTGGAGCTCTTATCAAGGAAACACATAATTAATTGAGAAAAATACTTTTAGACCCAACTTCAGAATGAGTTTTTAAAAATAGAAACATGTTATTACTTTATCCTGTCAACAATTTCCTGTGATCTTCAAGTTAAAGACTTAAGTTTATAACCTGTCTTGTTTGGCTTTTGTCGACTGAGGCAGAGATTTTTTTCTTGCTTATTCCCAGGCTCCTGGAGACCCAAGATACTTCAATGAGGCATAAAATGCCATCAATTCTGCTTCATATGTATAACTTCCAGAACTTTCATCCTATATAACATAGTTTCACCCCAATAACCACCACCCCATAACTCTTCTCCACACATATTCTCTGAGCCAAAAATCTCTCCTTAAAGCATGGGGTCTAGAATTGAATGCAGTGATTTAAATGTGAATTAAACAGAGGAGAGTTTGTCTACTCCTTTATCGTATTATTTTACTTATCTTTGATCCTCAACTTTTCCCCTTTTACAACATAGAGATTGCGGTGCCTTCTCACGGAGTTTATAACACTCGATCATATCTCAGTTAGTCACATGCTGAGTCTCCTACCATGTTTTCTGCTTCATCCAAAGGCCACAGTCTATGCCAACATGATATCTTGGCTAGGTGGTTGTTCAACTGACTAGTAGGAATCTCTCCGCTTACTCTCAAGTTCCCTACGCAGAGTGCTGTTTATAAGACGCAGGCTATATAATTTTGTGTGTGGGGGGTACCCAGAATCAAACTCAGGACCTCATGCTTGCCAGGCAGGTGCTACACCACTGAACTGTATCCCTGGCCCCAAGACACGGATTATATAAATGACTTATTTCCAATACCTTTGATGGCTCTCCACTGCATCCCCAAAGTTAAAATTTCTTACCTGCAGTTGGACTGCATGTATCTTTCTGACATCATTTTTCACTCCTTTCCTGTGCATAACCCCCCACCTCAGTCTGGCTCAGCAAAGCTATAGTTTGAGAAAGGAAAATGTTTCCATAAGAACCTTCCTACTCCAACTACTCTTGCCTATGAGGATTATCAACCAAGAGAGAAAAGATCACGGCTTTCAGGAAAATACTGAATTGATTCTTGCCAGGGAAGGGACCAAAGAAAGGCAGGAAAGCTGACTGGTGACGAGGATTCTAGTGGTTTTCTGTCTCAGAGCCAAGGAACTAGCCCTGGGGCTCTGGAGGCCCCATTTCTGAGCACAACCACCTCCCCCTACCCAACACCTCATTGGTCACGGACACTTCTATTTCATGGTCAATTGGCCATAATTTCAATTATGTAGGAAGCTTTTATTTTGCATGCAAATTCCAGAACAATTCAAAAATCTGTGGAAAGGTCTAGGTATAAAGGACGGGGAGTTTAAGTCTGAGAAGTGAAAATTACATCACAGTCTACAACCATCCTTAGTAGCCCTGGCACACTCGGAGGCTGTTGTGAGGGTGATATTGGAGGGATGTTAATATCAGTTGGTCTAAATATTAGATACTAAATATTAGTTGGTCTATTTATTTGTTTGTTTTAGTGAGGTCAGTGAAACCTAAAACATGTTATTTCTTCTAACACCTTGTATATTAGTATACTCACAAATTAAAGAAACCAGATTTTTAGTTTTTGTCTTGAGGGATTTGAAAAAAATTTATTTCACTATGGTAAGAATACTTCATGCAAGATCTAACCTTTTAACAGTTTTTCAAGTTTTGTTAACCGTATGGCCAATGCTGTGCAGCAGATTTCTAGCACTTATTCATCTTGTGAGTCTCGAGTTTTAATCTGGAAATTCAGATTTCAGGTACAAGGGTTTAGCAGACAAAAAGCAGAATGCCTGCACAATAGGCTCTGGGAGGCCTGGCTTGTCATAAATGGCAGGGAGATCAAGGGTTCTCAACCTTGACTGCACATTAGGATCCCCGAGGCAGTGTTTAAAAGCCCGGTTCCTGGGCCACACCTGAGGCCAACATGATCAGATCTTCTGGGCACCAGGAATTTTTCAAGCTCCCCAGGATGCCCAGTTTGCAGCTGAGATTGGTAACTACCCTGCTGTTGGTGCCAAGACCCTGTAGTTCTCCTTTTATTTTTCTCCCATGATAAAGGTTTCATGAACCCCACTGCTATGGTTTGAATGTGTCCCCTCCAGAATTCAGGGGTTGAAGCTTAATGAGCAATCTGAAGGCATTAAGAGGTGGGATCTGCAAGAGGTGATTAGATCCTCCCTCATGACTGGGACTAGAAGATACATATCGTGAATGGGCATGGTTGTGGGCACCTGTAATCCCATCAATCTGGGAGAGGCTGAGGCAGGAGGAACACAAAGTTGAGTTCAGCTGGGTAATTTAGCAACTTAGTTAAAATAAAAAATTAAAAAATGACAGGGAATGTAGCTCAGTGAAAAGGCCTTGTATTCAGGGAGTCTTTGTGTAGAGTTTGGCTGGTGTGCCCTTCTATATTCTGGCATATGAGGACATCGCACCCCTCCCTTCCAGAGGAGGCAGCTCTAAGGTGCCATCTGAGAAGAAGAGAAGCCTTTGCCAGATAGCTGAGCCTGCTAGAACATTGCTCTTGGACTCCTCAGAACTGTGAGAAAATAAATGTGTAATTTATAAATTACCCAGTCTCATGTATTTTTTGATCATAGGACAGACTTAGGCAGCTACTATTATATTGTCTGTAAGGAGAAAGAAGATATTGACACATTCTTTGAATCTGCTATGCATCACACTCTGTGCTGGAACTCGGCTTGTATTGAATCTTCATTAATGATGCTATAGGTAACAAGCATTAAGGTCTCAGTTTCCAAGTGAGGAACTAGTAGCTCAGAGGAGCGAAGGGACTTCCCAAGGTTGCTTAAACCCAAGTAAGTGGTGGAGCCAGGAGATGAAGCATGCCTGTCTGTTTCCAAAGCCTGTAGTCTTTTCAGTCACCTCAAGAGGCCCCCCATGCCATGCATAGTTCGGCTATGGGGCTTGGCTATTGCTTCCCTATTCTAAACTGAACAATATTCACGCTCTTCCATGACCCCAGTGGGCAAGCATGGGATTTGCAAGAACAGAGGATATTATATATTCTCTTTCCTAATGTAATTGAATATTCTGCAGTAAGTTCAGGACTCAAGAGATCTACATTCTATGCAATTTAGCTTGCACACTTACATACCTAAACACTGTCACTAACACACGAATACTGTTTCTTACTTTTACACTGTCACATATACACACACATATACACTCATATTTACATTCAGTTGTTAAATACATTTTCATGGAGAACCTATACTATACCAGAAATTGGACAAGAGTGTATGCCTGTTTACCCAGGGAAGAGCCAGTTTCTTGAAGAAGAGGTTAAATGTCTGAAGACCCTTTGCTTGGATTTTGAGCTATTTTCTCAGCTGTATAAATTCAGCCAAGTCACTTAACTTGAAAGTTTTCCATTTCTCACCATGATTGTTATCTATGAGGCTCTGTACATGCCTCTCTCTGGCTGTGAGCTGAATGAGGGAGCTGGGGAACAGGGCTCAGGACAGTGTCCTCAGAGTCTTTCCCTGAAGTCATGTGGGGGCTCCAGTGGCGACAGCTGTGTCTGCCCGGATCCTGTCATGCTGAAGTGTCAGCTTCCATGAGCATCAGGTATCAAGCAGGAGTGGCCAAGGCCAGCCAGAGGACACCTGGGGGTTGGGAGAATTTGTGTGGCCAATGTATCAGGATGCAGGTATGAGCTTAAGTTGTCCCCACCTGACTTGGTCTTAAGCAGGGTGGACAGACAAGGGCATTTTTCTCCCCTCTTAAAATTTGCCTAGCTGCTTTCAGGACTGAGGCTTTGCTTGCGGTCTCTTAGGGAGACAGAAAGATAGACAGCCAGCCAAAGAAACAGACGTCCCAGGGAGGAAGCCCTGTGCTGGGATTAGGAGCATGGGCTCTGATCTTGAAGCCACCTTGAGACCCATCCGCTATGCTTAGCTTACAGCCTAATACATGGTTACAGAGCTCTGCTTTCATATCCAGTGAGGGGCATACATCCACTCCTTTATTTTAATACTCAGACTTGCTCAATTTTGCTGGCTTTAGTCCTTTGAAAAAGATCGCAACTGATTTAGAAAGTGATTTGGTTTATAAGAAAGTCATTTCCCCTGTGCTGTGTTTAGCAGAATCCTGCAGTGTCACTGTAGATACAAAATGTGCTAACCTGAACACATGGACATAGGCTGTGTGCCTAAAATCACCAGAGACCCTTAGGGAGCCACTCTGGCAGAAGAGCTGCATCAGTGTTGGACTGAGGAGTCAGCAGACCTGAATTTGAGTTTGGCTTCCACCACTCTGCAATCCTGGGTAAGTTACTTTTCTGAGTCTTTATTTCCTCCTCTCTGCTTGAACTAATGATTTCAAAGAAAATGTGACAAAACCATTGATTTTAAGGTTACTTCTCTGACATTCTAAATAAGGTCAAATTCCCATTAGAGAGTCATCACATTGCTCCCTTCCCACATGGGCCTCATTTGCTCATGGTCAGTGGACATTTATTCAGGGGTGAATTGATTACAACCAACTGTATTAGCTTGTGGGCTGCAGCAACAAGGATTTTGTGTGACTTTCTCAGTCCCTTAACTCCAGGCTAGCTCAGGGCCTCATATATACTATGTACATTCTCAGCAAACGTTTACTGAATGATCAACTCAGGACTGGCTAGGCTCATATAATCAGTCTGACTGATTTTAAAAAGTTGCCCGTACCAAGAGTTTTTTGGGAGCATCACATCAACAGACATTTCAATGAACTGACCCATTTTACAGATTAAATAACTGGCTTCCAAGCTTTTGGCTGAGCTGCCTGAGAAAGAGCAAGAGAATATGGCATGCCTCTAGGCTGGGGGCCTGTTCTCATTGGAGATAGGGGGAATCAGACCTTGCTACAGCCCTATGAGGACTTCTGTCTTCCCAGCAGGGACACTGGGCCCACTAAGTGATGCAAGGAAAGCAGTGTTTTGGGGGAAAGAGCCTCATTCTGGGTCCAGGTAACAGAGTCCCTCTAAAATAACTGACACAGCTTATAGGACCCACAGTGGTAGTCTGTGATAATAGTGGTCATATTACTCAGTTGTCACGAAGATTCAAAGAGATCTTACAACTCAAGCATTAAATAATGATTTCAATGACACGGTGATAGCGCACAGGAAGAATCTCTCAGTTCATTTTGTTAGCAGTAAATAAATGAATATATAAACAGATGGGGAGAAGGACATACTCTTCTTTAGAGTACAGTATCAACAGGAAAATGCAGAAGACATGATAGATTTGAAAAGATTTCCATTTTTCAACCACTACAGAAATTTGATGCAGACAGGGATCATCAGTAGAAACTAAAGTAAGTGAGTGCAAAGATATTCACATAATCTCAAATTTCTCCTTAAAAATTACTTATGGATTAGAAAAGGAGAAGAGTATCTTTAAAGTGGAGTAACTTGGGTGACCACCTTCACCAACTGATTAAAGTCCGTATCATCAATATCAGGGCAGACAGGACACACTGAGACAAGACAATGCCACCTCTGTGGCAGGTCAGCCACAAATGCATAACCGGAATCTAATCGAGAGGCATCATCAGACAAACGCAAACTGAGTTATCTGCTGCAAAATAACTGGCTTGAACTCTTCAGAAATGTCAAGGTCAGGAGGGACAAACAGAAGCTAGGGAACGATCCCAGACTGACAGAGTCAGAAGAGATATGGCTATTCATGTAAAAGTATGAGCCTGAACTGGACATCGAAAAGAAAAAAGAAAGGGTTCATTAAGAGGACCACTTGGCAAACTGAGAAAATTTGAATATGGATGATGAACTAGACGATACTACTGCAACTGTGCTAACTTTTTGATCTCAGTCACTGTATTGAGTATGTAAGAGCATATTTTTATTCTTAGGAAATGCATCTGGAGTCTTCAGGGGTTAAATGAACAATGAAATGACATATTGGAGGTCTTGGCTCCAAAAAGGGTTGGAGAAGAGATGTAAAGCTGGTTTTGGGGGGATCTCAGGTAATCTATTCTTGGAGAAACTCAACCATTGGAGGAGAGATAAACTGTTGCCATCGTCTATGAACAGACATAACTAACCTGCAGAGCTGTATGTATGATTGGGAGACAGGAACCTCCCAACTGCCTTCCCCCATGCCATCGATTCCCCATTGCTCAGAGAACAGATCAAAGACATAATGTTCTTTTGTTTATGTACTATCTATGCTCCCAGTCAAAACCCCACTGGAAAATACAGCGAAACAAAATTAACTTGACAGGGAAATGGATATTTGAATGAAGCTTCTTCTTAAAACAGTAATTCATCATGTTCCATTGCACATCTCCAGAAAACCAGGACCACGGGTGGTTTAGCTGAAATGAGGGAATTCATTACTCTTGAAACATCTCTGGGACTCATTGCGCAGGGGTTGGGAGCTGTGGGGACTAAATGAGGGAACAGACGTCAACCCACATGTGTGCCACACACTGTTGGACTCTTTCCATGCACAGTCTCCTTGAGTTCTCCAGAGAGGCCCAACTTCACAAATGACTTAATTCCAGAGATAATGATCAATGTCCAGCTTCACAAATGAGGAAACTGAATCTCTTTAGAGTTGGGAGGTCAGGCCTATCAGTCATCAAGGAAGTGATTGGCCAGTGTTTGAATGTGGGAAAAATCATCATTGCCCTCATCCAGGTTGGATGAGCTGCCTCACTTTCTGCATAACTCCCTGACCGTTGGTGGTTCAAAGCTGTTCTGTGGATGTGAACAGCTGCAAGCCCTGATCTGTCCCAGGACACACAGTCTTCCGGCATCCTTAGTGATGTCAGAAATACATTGATTGACAGCCACAGATAAAGTGGAATAAAGTAAGAAATCTCAGAACTCTAGAAGGCAGCTCACATCATTTACTCATTCATTTATTCTAGAAACACAAATCAAACACCTACTATGTACTGGATTCTGGGAATATAAGATTCTAGTTCTTAGATTCTAGTTTCTCAAAATCTGGCCCCTGAGCTAATAGTGTTACTTGGGAACTTGTCAGAAATGCAAATTCTTGCTCCTCACCCAGATTACTGAGTGAGAAACTCTGAGAGTGGGAGAGGCAGCAGCAGCCTGGGTAACAGCAAACCTTGTAGGTGGTTCTGATGCATGCTAAGGTTGGAGAGCTACTACAATCAAGGGTAGATAAAATACTGACAGGCTGTGATAATAGGTGGATACAGAGGTGGTGAAAATGTTGAGGTTTGACTGTTATAAACAGATCTCAGAGTTACATAGAGATGTCCTTCTCACTGACATTCTGGAGCTCTGTGCTTTTCTTTTCTTTTCTTTTTTTAATTTAAAGAGAAAAAATAAAGGACATAAAAAAACAAAGCAGTAAAAGGGTACAAGCAATACAGAATTTCAAGAGAAAAAAATATACAGTAAGAAATCACTAGTTAATAGGTTACATATTGTCATCTTAGAAACAGTTGTCCAAATTATAAAATTAAAGCATATAAAGACATTCATACAGTGATATTGGAGACAGTTCCGCTCAATGATCCAACAAAAGCTCAGTAATATGGTTTTCCATCCTACACACTCAAACATACCTGCAGTTATATACACTTTCCTCTCCTCTCTTTTTTACAATACCTACACACAGACTGAGCAGTTTTGTGGATATCCAACAGGTGACCCTTGGCCTAGCCAGTCTGAGTACCCTGTCCCTGCTGGGAGCCCAGGAATGCAAGCCAGGAAGGGCTTGGGGTGGTGGAGACCTGACAGAAAAAGAATAAACTAGCCCTGTATAGAGTAAACATCTTGGGGCTGGGGATTTAGCTCAGCGGCATAAGTGCCTGCCTTGCAAGCAGGCAGTCGTGAGTTCGATCCTTGATACCGATAAAAATTAAAAAGACAAAAAAAAAAAAAAAAAAAAAGAGTGAACATCTTCTGGGTTATGTTTTTCTTCACTAAAAGGGGCATGTTGGATGTGTCAACAAGGATTTCTAATAAACCGTGTTTCAGTCTCACGGCATCAAACTAGGCAGTGTGAGAAGTGAGATAATAGTTCATAAATTTTAGTGTGCAAACAAGTCATACAGGGAGTTTATCAAACATACAGCCCACTAGGCCACCCTGCATATGATTCTGCAGCCAGTCTGGGGAAGGCCCAGAATTTGCATAGCATAAAATCCCCAGGATAATCTCAGCGGACTGCGGCTTGAGGAACAACCTTTGAGAAGCACAGTCTTGTGACATGTGCTCACAAGGGCCAACTTTCCACTCCAGCCGCAAGCCCAGGCTTATACTCTAAGTATCCCTGGCTTCTGGACACTTAGAGACAGGTCTGTGTTTCGGGCAGTTTTCTTGAAAGAGGAGTAATTACTCTTGTCTGATGGGTGGTAGCAGGGATTGGAAGAGACTTCGGTCTGGCTGTGCAGGGGTTAATGCTTCTCTTTAGGCTGTGAAATGAAGTAAGCTTTCTCATATTATAAAAGTTGCTTTGAAATCTAATTAGAATATGAAAGTTGAGATCTCAGTCTATTTTTACACAAAGCATGAGTTCAGCAGGAATAATCAATACTGGAACTATGAGCTGCTTGTCAGCCTTCCGTGGAGCTGGCGACGAGCTTCCTTCGGGAAGAATCTTCAGTAAAGGAACAAGAAGATGGAACTGGAATGGACCGGGGTTAAGAAAGGAGGGGCTTCACTGACTTCAGAATAGATATGGGCAGCTCATGAGACCTCTAGATTCTCCAGTGCCCCAGCAGAGACACCTGAGGGCGAGTGGGTAGCTGAGTTATGGATGGTGTGTAACCTCCTCTGTTTGATTAAAGAAAGAAAATCCACCCTATTGGACTGACAAGGAGCTATGGAGGTGGTCTTCTGAAAAAGAATGTGAAGTTTTGAACTCAGATTCTACTTTGAAGCTTAGCCCTGCTTACTTACCCACTGCACGATTGAGGAAATCTTATAACTTTACCCAAACTCAGTTTCCCCACCTGTAAAATGGTAGGAATAATACTGCCCTTGCAAATAATTAAATGAAGTTATAAAAGTGATAATACCTAACCTGTACTGAGCACTTACTATGTGTGTTATACGGGTTCATTATTTCATGTGATCTTTATAACAATCTTGTGCAGTTCAGGAAAGTGGAGGAACTTAGGAAAGCAGGGAAAGCTTCAGGACAGTTTCTAGAACAGAATGGGAACTCAGTATTTGTTTCCTTCCTATTCCCAGGGGGCTAGAAGGAGGCTCATTTCCAGAGGACTCAGATCTTGCCTCTGTCGCGTTTCCTGGCAGGCAAGGATGGCTGCTCATTTACGTCTCCTGAGCCATCAGAACTACTGGTGGGCTATGTCTGATCCTGGGAGTGTCAAAGGCACAACAGGCAGATTTAGCATCGCTTGTGTGAGCCACCATGTACAGAACCCAGAGACCTCATGTGACAACAACAGGGATCTCTTCCCAGGAACATCGTATTCAGATTTGTCTTCTTTGAGGAAAAATAATGCAAAAGATCATTTTTCACTTTTAAATAGCTTTCATTCTATGTCTTAATAAATGCACATTTGTTGATTTGTGTAAGCGTGATGTGGGAAGTCTGCAAATGGATGTAATCTGCACCGAGGGCACATGTAAGCACCAGCGAGCACTTTTGAATAATGAATCCCTCCTGTAAAAGACGGACGCTATTCATAATAATTCCTTGCTTTTCTCATTTTGCCGTGTACAGTAGCGATTAATCAATTTGCAATGTTATGTCACCCGCAACAAATTGCTAGCACCGAGACAAATTTATTGCTTTATGATAAAAGAACTTGTTTAGGTGGAAATAAATTAAATTGGGAGGGGGTCTGAGATTTGGGTTTGATGTTCACATACATGACCCAGAAAGTGGGCGAGAGGTGAGAGGTCCAGGCACCTGGTTTCATCTGGCATCCTAGAGAGGAGCACAGCTCTGATGGGAGAGAGTAATGCGGAGAGTGAGAGGTGGTTCTCCAGTGCCTGCCTGCCTGCTGGGCTCCCGGTGGCAACAAGCCCAATTTAGAGCTTTCCACAGAGAGGTTGGGGCAATCAGCAATGCCCCGGGGAAACAACTCTCTTCCCTGTTTCTGTTTCACCTGAGTCCGACTGAACCGAATTTACCCCCAGTTGAGAGTGGGTAGAACCTAGGTGACAGGAATTGGGGTCAATATTTAGAGGTCTGAGAGTAACACAGGCTATGATGATTTATTAAGTCTCCCAGTGTATTAAGTTGTGGAGGAATAAAAAGTTTAAATGGGATTATCAAAATTGTGGTGCAATAAGTATTCCACTCAGCAAATGAATGCTTTTAATACATCTGACATTTAATTATGAAGAAATGTGCTATTACCACGGTCACTGTCAAAGCCTCAGTGTGAGGCCTTTTATAATATAAAAGCTGGGGTGACTGGACATTATGAGTGACCTGAGGATATGCAGTCCCTTCCTTCTACGCTCAGTTCATAGAACAGCGGATCAGGGAAGCACTTGGCCTGAGGACCCAGAGTGAGAGATATTGCAGATCACCATGCCTGAAGCCAGTACACAACGCACATTTTGTTTGTCTTTAATTTATACTCCATTAATTTGGAATCTGCAGAAGAATCAGGGGCCTAGGTATTAATTCTGCTTTTCTCGCGTATGCATATGCACATGCGTACACACACACACACACACACACACACACACTCAGAACCAGGACAACTTTTTAAGCAATATGACAGGATAAATGACTTGTAAAAATCAGGTTTCAGTTAGAAACCGTATCAGTTCTACTGCACCTGTAAATGGATTTCTCTGTCCCAGTTCATCACAGTCCATTCCTTTCTTCTCTTAATAGCGAATCTAGTGACTACCTCCAGGAATAGCTTGGTACACTCTGCCCAACTACAGGGAGAGAACCAGGGTGCATTTCCTGGGCCATGATCACTGTCATGATTGTCTCATTTTAGCATGAAGGGCGGTAGGGCTGGAGGCCTCCTGCCTGCGGAGCCTTCTGCAGCCTTGCTGCAGTGTCTGGGCAGCCTCTTGGCTGTCCCTCAGCACCAGTGCCCACATCCAGACTCCTATGGAAAATGAGCAGTGGAGGACTCAAGCCCCCTGGTGGACCCTTTCCATTGCCTTGTGGTGGGAGGGGCCCCAAAGAGTGTATGGCATCCACATAGAATGCTGGACTCACCTGCTGACGGCTTCTTTTTCATCCTCCATTCTGCCTGTTCACTGGGCTCCAGTCAGCCCAAGTTTGCTCATTTGCCTTTCCAGACCTGCCTACCTCTGGCCTCCTCCTTGGTCTGGGGTCCTGGAGAGGCTCTGGCCCTCTGAGGGGCTGCGTTGCCCCTGTTCTTTCTGCCCGCCTGCCCGCTGGCTAATTCTGATTATTTCTTTTTCTTTTTGCTCTCTTGGGTGCCTTTATTCCTGACCGTGCATTTTCTCTGGACTCAGGATTAAAAAAAAAACCCACACTGCTAATATCCTTGTCAGCCTTTTCCTGAATCATTGCTGCACCACTCCAGGGAGCCACGGGCCAGTGCCTTCTGACCGGCAGACTCCGTCCCTGAGCCTTCCTATCCTTGGGGTCTTGGGGCTCCCTGGCATTTCCTTGGTTCCCTGAAGCCAAAGCCCGGAGGTATAGGTCCTGTGTGAAAAGCCCAGCAGAGGAGCCCGATAGGCCAAGAACTGGGAATCCAGCTGAACCCCTCCATCTCACAGGTGAACTCTCTTAATTGCTTTCTGTTTCTTTAAGTTGGAAGAGCTTTCCTCTCCATCATCTCATGTGCTGTCTCATTCCTGTTTTACAGATGAGCACACTGGATTTCAGATGAGCAGAGTGGTTCAGTGATTTGCTGAAGGCAGCACAGCTTCCAAGGGTCCGCACTCCGGTCTCTACATGCGTAACTGAGGTATGGGGAAATAAACCCTCATCAACAGAGGAAGCTGAGGTTCTAGTGCTTCAGAGCCTTGTTCCAAATCAACACAGCTATGGAATTTAGGTTGCTCAGCCTCCGGGCCAGAGGTACAGAGCGAAGCTCGGCCACCTATTCCAGCTGTGGTTACAGGGGCAATGCCCAGGTATGGGGAGGCGTTTGTCAATGAGAAGCAAATGTGAGCAGGAGAAAACCTGAATCTAGGAGCTGAAATGGCCAGGGGCTGTCCTGTTGCTTTTATCACCTATATGAGCTCAAGGCTTAGTGGGGAGCTTGGGTTTGTATTTTAGGGAAGCGATACACCATAGGCCCATCTCAGACTGCTCTAGGTGACAGACCAGCTAAGATTGGATAGGAATGGCAGTTTTCACAAATCCTGGTTCAATCTTGGCCTGTTAGAGACACAAAAAGAAAGATCCATTTTGCAAAGGCTCCCTCTACCAGGCAGCCCTCTCTGACTCTCCAAGACAAAGCCAACTCTCCTTCCTGGGTCTCACACTACCTACTTTGCAGAATAATCACATCCATGCTGATGGAACAGAATTTTGCCTCATAATCCCTCCCTGCAGGTTAGTTTGGGCACAAAGCCCTTCTTGGAGTAAGGATGCCTTCACTTGTCCATAGATATAGCATATACCCACCCATGGGGATCCTTACAGAAATATAACCACAGATAGAGACATGTCCCAGACATCACTGATAGAGACTGAAAGACAAGTCTGCTGGTATCTGAGCATATGGCTTCTTCCAGGACATGTGCCTCTCCAACCCCAGGTATTCTGTGTCTGCTCTCTAGACTGGAGGCCATGGCCAGTCTACAGCTCTCGGAAACTTGGCCTGCTCAGGATAGAAGCTTATTGGGTGCCAATCTCCAGTCCTGGGAACTTCTTTCTGGACAATCATCTCTTCTAGCTGGGGCCTGTCTTTACCCCTTTCCCCCAGACAGCCTAGGATGAGACTATCTCTGGGAAGCATCTGCCCACCCGCATTGTACTCCCAATCAGATAGACGTTCCTCCTGCAGCTGCCAGGGCCCTGTCACACCACACCTTGCTGTCTCAGCATTTTCCCAATGGCTCACTTGGAATGGTTCTTCCACTTAGCCTGATACTCTGCTTCTGGAAGATAGATGCCTGCCCATCCTCTGCATATCCCAGAGGCTGCTGAGCCCATGAACAAGCAGGTTAAAAGGAAAAGGAGAGTCCCAGGCCCCTGCTGAACTTTGGCTTGTCCCTTGCCTTAAAGATACCATGAGTCCTGGCAGGAAGCACAGTGACACAACACCGACCCTGGGGCCTTGGAAGTTTGGGTTTAAACCCCAGCTTAGCCTCTTGCCAAACGTGTTATTTTGGATAGTTGCCTGCTCTTGATAAGCCTCTATTGTGCTTCTGTAAAGTAGGTATAACCACCTGAACTTTATAGGGATGTTGGGAGTAAGATGAGGTTAAACATATGTAAAAGAGAGCTTAAGGGGCAGGAAGCTCTAAAAATATTGGTGAATAAGACTGGCATTGTAGTAACTGCATTCCCCAATGCTCATGGCCTCCTAGGTCCCTCTAACACTCACTGTGTAGCTTCAAAGATGACTCAGCCTTCATCCTCCAACAGGGGAGAGAGGCAAGAGGCTGGGCAGGGGCCAGAGGTCTGTTTGGCAAAGCAGGTAAGGAAGCGGCTCTTTTCGCAGCTGTGCACGTCTTAGGCTACGTGACACCAGCCAGTTATTACTCACAAGGCTCAAGTGAGCACCCTCCTCCTATGAAAGGGGAAGGAAGAGAACTCCTGGATAAGAAATCCTCACGAATCAGGATCACATCCATGCTGGTCACTTTCATACGTATTAACCCACTCAATCTCAAGACATCCTAAGAAGGATGTATCACAGAAGAAGGTGAGGTTCAAAAGCAAACCACATTCCCTAAGTGGCTTTCACACACTGGGCTGTTCCTCAGCTTCCTGGTCACCTTTGGAGAGTGAACAACAGAACAGAGGAACTGAGTGAAATGATAAAACTGGTTCCTCGTCCTTGGAGGCAAGAGGCTGAACAAATCTATCCTGCAAGCAATGCGTACAGCGAAGCTTACTCCACAGAACAATTTAGACAAAGACCTAGTTTATGCAGCTGAATATGAAATATGGCTTGTGTCTTAGGACATTGGTATAAAAAGACTATTTCTTTGCTGTCACAGCCTTAAAGCCACCTCTGCTAGGAGCATTGCCTTCTCACTTGAGGATGAAACACCAGGCTGATCTGGAAAACAGAAGTCTGGGGAAATTTTCTGTAAACTTAGTGGGGGGTTCTTCACTATTCCTCTGTTTCTGTGTGTGTCTCTCTTTGCAGTACAGGGAGTAGAGCTTGGGTGCTCTGCCTTCCTCAGTGCTGGGATTACAGAAGTGCATCTCTTACCTGGCAAGTTCTTTTCCTATGCCTCAGTTTCCCCATCTATAAGAGGACATGGTTTTCTGAGAGTGATTTCTCTAAGTAGCTGTGTGTGTGTGTGTGTGTGTGTGGTGCTGGGAATTGAAGCCAGGGACTTCTGCATGCAAAACAAGAGCTCTACCACTGATCCACACTCCCAGGCCCTCTCTGAGTAACTTCTAATTCTTTCCAAACATGGCCAAATTGTCCAACAGACAATTGTTCATAGAACTAATGTCAGAGCACCAAAATGTTTTTGTGACAAGTGAATTTCCTTAGTAGAAAATCCTAAGAAAGCTGACCACATAAATAGCACTAGACTAATGCATTTAGGGAATTTGAGAATAAATTCCTATCAGATGAAGAACCCTAGATATCTTCCTGTGACTGTTAGAAGAATTTTTGGTTTCTGAAGCCTGTGTCCTTGCCACTGATTTAAGCCCTGGCTTTCCCTTATTTAGAGAAGGCAGAGAGCCTCCTGGCCCAGGGCGAACTGTCCACCTTCGTCTCTGAAGGAGATGGCTAAAAATCTCTGCAGTATTCTTCCTCCTTCCAGAAAAGCATGCGTGGGGGTGGGGCAGTAGCTTTGGCTCCCACTGAGGAAGATACGCTCCTGGAGGCACATTTTCACAGCAATGACTTTGGGGCGTGTGGGGGGATAGGAAAAGGAAGGACATCAGATCTGGTTTCTGCCGCCAACAAATCAATATGTTGACAGAACCACTCTCCGCACGTGTCCATTTAAACACCCATCCCTGTGTGCGATTCAGGCTGACGGACTCCCTCCTTGCCAAATGCAAATGCATTAACCTTACAATTGGGTAATCTAATAAAAAGGATCAATGGTCTGATTCGGTGCTTATGGAGTCATTTACTGCAAGCGAGAGCAATTTAGCCAGGACCCAGATGGGCAGCTTGGGGAAGCCGGGAGAATGGCTTCAGCCCGCTGTCTTTGCCCACTTTCCCCAGGCACTGCCCGCTCTGGCTGGAGAGGCTGGGCAGGGCCTGCCAGGGAATGAAGAGGATTTTATTCATTCATTACTGCCACTTTAATCACTTAGAGGTTCAATTAAGTATAAATCATTAGTGGTATTTCAAGTTACTTTTTCCAGGTCCGTGCATAACACACTTGACTGGCGGTGGGGAGCTTTCTGTGACTAGATTTAGCGTGCGACTGAACAAGGCAGTCATATGGGTTTTTCTGCTATGAAATTGATAAATGAAGCGGGCATTCGAGGTACAGCAGTAATTTCTGTGGTGCAGTCAAGTGCTCGCTCCCTTGTCTCCTCTAGCAATGAGGGCATGGGCCCCTTTAATACAGCGGCTTTCCCTGGGGGCCCCAAAGGCCAGGCTGAGCTACAGCTCTTGGGTTGATTTCCTTGCAGAAGTTCCCAGAGCCAGCCTTGGTTCATTAGTGGGAATATACCTGGGGAAGAAAAATAAATAAATATATAAATAAATAAATAAGGAAAAGAGAAAGTGAAAAAAGGTCCTTTTACCCTCATTCACTGTTGTTGATGCCGTCATGATTTTTGCAGTAGGGAGCAGGCACGGCAAAGAGACAGAATCAGGCAGTGTCCGTGGACTGCTCCCCTATTCCGGGGCATGCGGTTGTCCCTTGTGGCCGGCATCTCTGTCTGGAAAGCATATTTTCTCCTAATCGGTTTTACAGCTCTTTTAAAGTAATATGTCAGATCATTTTCCCCATATACATAGTTAATGAAAGTAACCCTACAAATTCATTTTAAATAGATGGAAGTTGTTATAACCCTGATCCAGAATTTATTACGTTCATTACAATCTTGCTGAAGTAGGTAATGTAATGGACTATTACTTTTATTATCTTTTTAATCCCTCAAAATTATTAGGAACTGACTAATATTTGGCATCACCCTGTTAATGTTTAAACAGAAATTGATACTTTAATTCGTCTAATAAATGACAGGGGCACTTTGAGTGGAAACAAAAGCCTGATGGGACTTATCTTGATCTGTCCCAAAGACTTTTAAGTGAGACTCAGGGGTCTGAGTGCAGTTATTTCTGGGTAGGAGAGATGGACTTACTGACACAGAGACCCAGACCTGCGGTAATGATAACAAGGCAGAAATGTGAGAGGGGGAGAAATTCCACTCACACATCCAGATTTTCATTCTGATTCACGAAAAGCTCCTGTTTGTAGTGAGCTCTATGGGTCTTTTCCTTCCTGTCCTCCCTCTTCCCCTCCCCAACTCCTCAGATTAAAATGATTTTTCTTTATAACCATTCCTGTTTGTAATCAGCTTTATGGCTACGAATTCTCAAGTGCTTTAGAATTTGTGTGTTGCAGAGACAAATGATTGGGCCACCCTCTTCTAGCTAGGAGTGAAGACTCTACTTGCTCCTTGGAAGATAATGATGGCTGCTCGATTTGCAAATTACCAAATCTCACCATGAAGTGGGAGGGGGCGGGGGACGCTCTCCTTCTCTTCCTGAAGGCGCTGTGTTTACCTTCCAGAGCTCTGTTTCCTGCAGGGCGGGTGACAGGATTTAGGAGAAATCGATCTCCTGCACTTTTCCTGTTT